AAACGACGCGTCGTGTATATAAATGGTTGTAGGTTTTGCTCCATTTTATCTTATATATCCAAAGAGAACAAGTTGAGAGAAAGGACAGATTATATATAGTGCTAGTTGTTAATTAATTATTATAAGGAAAACGATGAGCAGAAAAAAAAATAATGTTCTTAAAAAAATTCCAACGTACGAATTGTCCCACAAGACAGGCGAATCAATTATTTGTCTAGCAAATAGCAATCATGGGCACCATCATTATCGCCATGTTCCCTCTTATATGTTTCATTTTCCAATTTGGTACAATTTTTTACAGTAAATCAGTAGTACAAATGTACAATTTTAGCATCTTTCACTTTGGATAGGTTTGGAGATGTAATTCTGACACATCAACGAGGGTATCACTTATTATTATTATTATTATTATTATTATTATTATTATTATTATTATTATTGTAACTTTGTAAGTGTTAGAGAATAGTAAGTATATTATTTATATGTTGATTTCGATGTTGAAATGTAGTTTCATGTTGAAAAACTTTAAGATATGAAGATTTCTTATCAATTTTAGTAGTTAGGGGAAATTTTTTAAATAGAGATCTAATTTAATCTCGAGAGAAAGAGTATATAAAATTTATATTTAGAATAGTCTTATAAATTCAAATTATCATAATTCTAGAAAAAATGACTCTAATTCGTGAAGTTAAAACTCATTGTTGGTTTGAGTTGAGGGAATCATGAAATTTAGGAACCTTTTTTCCTTCCTTGGTTAGCTTTAAAATCAAGATAAGGGAAGTTGGAAATTTTTGGAATAGTGAAGTTGTTGCATTGTCGTGATTAATTTCATATCAAGTTGCTACTGAGTTGCATGGTTTGAAGTGTAATGACCTAAATTGGAATTATGAGTTTGGAAGTATGTTGGAATGATAATGGTGGATTGAGTTCTTGTTGTTCATGTTGAATTTGAATACATTTTTGTATTGGTTTCGATATGTATATAGTTGATTTGTAGTGTTGCATGTTTGGGAGTTGTTGAGTTTCATGTGGGATGAACCAAATTTGTGATCTGTATAAGTGCATAATTCACATCATGTTAGGTGTGCCTCTCTAAGGCATCGAGCTTCATTTCAACATGAGACTTTCTATCTTGTCACACCCAGTGCAGGATCGATGGTGCCAAGCGTGATGAGAAACTCATTCAAGTTGGAATGACATTAGACATTATTTGAATAGTGTTGGGTGTGAGAACACTAGGAGGTCTCTAGCTTAGTGACACCAAGCCTTGAAAAAGTGATGTCTAATGTAGCCAAACTAGGACTCTTTATCTAGATGACGTTGGGTGTAAGTGTGATGACATCGGGTATGAGTTAAACAAAGACTCTACCTAAAATGAGACTAAGTGTGACACTTTGTTACGTTAGGCACGAGGTCTCAAGTATCCATGTCAAGTGCGAGTTGTGGAGCATTATGCGTAGGTGAGGCATGGAATTCCCTACTTGGATGGCTCTAGGCATTGGATGTGTGGCATCGAGGGCTGATTGTTGAAGGAACACATGGCATTTGATTGATGAATTGTTGAATATGAGTAGAATAGATTAATCTATAACACGACTTAAGTTGCTTAATGTTAATGTATGATGGTAATTAAAGATGATGAATGAATGAGAGTTGAAAGTAAGTGGAGTCGTATGTTGTAAGTTATATGTTTTGTGTTAGTAGTGTAGTTGTGTGTTGGAAATGTTATATGCAAGTTGTCATGTTACTAAGATGATAAATATCGAGAATGCTTAAAGCATTTAGACATAATTTGTTAAGTTGTGTTGATCAACTTAGGATTAGATAAGAAATTATTTTAAAATTGCATATCCTATTATGTAAATATTGTGTTATGATGTTCCAAGAACGCAACTTTGTTAAAAACCTTTGTTGAGAAGTTAACCCTTTGAGAGGGTAATTGAGTCCCCTTCTAGCACTTCAGTTGGTGTCGTGTGTGGGTAAGATTAAGATACACGTGTATAAAATGACAATAGTATAGGGGCTAACTTGAGTTATATTAATTAAAAGTGACAAACTGAGTAAAGTACGGAGTTGGAAACTTAATTCCTAACCGATTATCAAAGGGCGTAATATTTAGAGGGTAGTCAGTGAACTAATCACATAGAAAACTTAGTTAAGTTAGTTAATATCATAGTAAACTTATACCTAACTATTATACCCTGACAATAGTATTAAACTTTCTTGTTTAAGTGACGACATCTAAGAAATTAAATTATTGTGTTGTGGATTGATATTCAAGTTGTTATTAATCTAACAAGTCCAAAAAGATCACTTTATTGTTGGTTCAATAAGATCAAACCACTTAAATTACTCACCCTATATTATAGGAGATTTCTTAATTGAAGTGCATAACAATACATGTAGTGTTGTATTACATATGTTGTGTTATTATGATAAAAAAAATAAAAGAGTTGTTTATATAGTTATGTTTCAATTGATATTTTGAGGTGTTAATATCCTAAAGTTATCAACGTATCATTAGGGGTGTGCAAAAAATCCAAATTGATCCGAACCGATCCATAACCGATCTGATCCATATTGAAAAATCCGATCCATTTTGAAAAAAAGTCCAAACCGAACCACTTTATAAAACCGGTTCAGGTATCCGATCCATTTTTACAAAGTGGATCGGTTCGGTTCGGTTTGGTTTTCTAAAAAAACTGATCCATATATGAGTAAAAAAGTGAATAACTGCACCGCACCGAACCGATCTAATTTCAAAAAAACCGATCCATATTTTAAAAAAACCAAACCGATCCACTTTATAAAAAATGGATCGGTTAACCGATCCACTTTTATAAAACGGTCAGGTTCGGTTTGGATTGGTTTTTTGAAAAAACCGATCCATGAACACCCCTACGTATCGTGTATATTTATGTTTCATGACAATGTATTTAAAAAATATAAATTAATTGAATAAAACATATATGACTTTATTCAGTGTGGTGGTAAATTTTTTATTTTTTATTTTCAAAATTAACTTTAAAAACAAAATTTGTTTAGACAAAAAAGAGTTGAAATGAATTAAAAATAAATAAATTTTATTTTTATCCTCTTCTAATATTTATTCCGTAATTTTGGATTTCACAATTTTTATCTCAGCTAAAATATCCACACATTGAGCATTAAAATTATGTTAGTCTTAACATTAATCTGATGATATTTGCACTTCTATTTTTATTTAATCTCAAAGTGATAAAATACAGTAAAAATAAGAATTAAAAGTATAAATTTAAGTATTAATTATTGAATATAAGTTCATAATCATTGGTTTATGTGCAATTGCTAATAAGTTGACAATATGATTGAATTATTTGAATTACAGTGCAGAAAAAAAAACACAACATGAAAAAAAATGTACACCAATTGTTTTACACTGTACTAATTACCGATAAAATCGAGAGAAAACAAGGTGGTGAAGAACCAATATATCTATGGAATTCATTAATTGCCAAATCTTTTGAACACAGATAAAATGTCTTCAAACAAAAAGTATAACAGCATCCTAACAGTACAACCGCGTTAAAATTCTAGTCCTAACATCTCAATCCATTCAATAACAGATTAAACTTCAGGTTTTGTTTCTTCTTCATCCTCTTCTATCTTCGGAGCCAAATAGAACCGAACATAACCCATCTCAGCAATTTTGTACTCAACCACTACCGGAAGCTCATTTGACAGACTAATTGTAACTATATTAGACAATGGTGTTGCCTTGGTGAAAGAGTTCATGTATCGCAGTGCAAACGTCAAGGACACAGGCTCATTCATCTCAATCACTGTAGCTTCCTCAGGCTGAAACATTAACCCACAAAAAGAAAATTTAAAAATTGTGCAACACTGTACTTTACATAAGAAAATACAGAACAAAAACATGTACAGTGAAGTATCAAGTTAAAATTAATATATTGGCGACAAAGAATGCGAACTATCACGTTAAAAAGCATGTACAATGTACAGTTCTCACCTTGTCCACAGAAGTATTCTGCCTGCAAACTATATTTGCAATTCCAATATCTCCTTTCGTAGTAAACTTGACACCCTCTTTACTCACAGAAATAACAACTTCAACATACACCACAAAACAACCAACGTTTATTAGCATAGCCTTCTAAACAAAAATAAACTCCTGAAACTGAGAAGCAAAACTAATTACCAGTGTCACCAATGGTACTGAGATCCCTGCAAATCCTAGCAAACTCAGACGATGGCATCTTAACAATAGCATGATACTCTGCCTCCGGAATCCCAAGATGCTCACTATCAATACTCATCAGCTTCATTTCAAAATCAGAAATCTTATCTTGAGCTGTAAGACAAATCCCCAAAACAAAAGTCAAACAAAAATTCTAAAATTAGTAGTTTCTTTTTATAAGAAAGATGAGAAAGATTACAAAATTAATTACAATGGAAATCAAACTTAAGTCTCTATATTTCAAACTACTCCAACCTTTTTTCTCCTAACCATTAAACTAACTAACTCTGAAGGTGTAAAAAAAGCCAGCAATATTTTCTAAACACCACATCTGTGCAAAAGCATCATTAGTATTTTTCCTTTTTCTATATCTATCCTTTTTTGTCAAATCATGTTAACAACCACATCGCACTTCTGTCTTATTATCTTTGTCAATACCTCATTTTCTTTATATAAATTTTAAAACCTAATAATAAAATGTATCAAACACAAATCAGGCATTGACCTATAAACAAAACACCAAAACCCTAAAAATCAGGCAATCATGAACCAAATAACCCCTATTTAAACCTATAAACATCGATGCTTCAACAAAATCCACATTCCTCTGGAAAACCCTAAAATCCCGAAGGCAAATCGCATTTCTGTCACAGAACATTAGAAAACAACTTCTTCAAACTAGTAATCGAGAATCAAACACAAGAATAATCAAGACACAAACCATAAAAGCAGAACAAATCGCATAAACCCTAAAAAATAAAACTCGGTTAAAAATTCGAAAAGCAGAAGAAAGCGTTGAAGGAAGTGAAACGCACTAGGGCTTTCAAACATGAAAGTGACAGTATCTCCGCCGTCGTCAGCTTTTATAGTGATGATATCGTCGTTGCCAGCGCACTTGAACATCTTAGCCATGTTGCTGAGGTTCATGCCCATAGAGATGTTGCGGTCGCAGCGGTAGTGCTCGAAGCCCTCCGATCGGAGAAGCAAGGCAACGAGTGCCACGTGGCTGGAGTCCATGGCCTGAAGGGAGAAGCCGGTGGAAGAGCAATCGAAGTTGGCGTCATTGACGAGATCCTTGATGCCATCGAGAACCTTCTTGAAAAGGGAACCTTGCACGAGACGGAGTTCCAACATCGCGAGTCGAGAGTGTGGTTCGGTTAGGGTTAGGTTCAGGGTTCCGCGCGCGTTTGGAGTTTGAAAATGAAAAGTGAAAGAATAGCAGGAGAAGGATTTTATAGGGGAAGGTTCGGTTTTTGAATAATTGATATCACCCGCCACCACGAGGTTTTTCGCAAGGTTTGGAAGGAACGTCTGAGAAAAAAAAAATGTTCTCTCATTTTAGGATTATAGTGAGGATTTTGATAACTATATTTTTATTAACTAATAATACAATTTTAAATTTATATATATATATATATATTTATATTTATATTTATATTTATATTTAATATTATTTTTTAGAAAATTATTTTTCAGAGAAAAAATATACTTTCAAAAAATAGTTTTTGAAATACAAAAAGTACATTTATGAAAAGTACGTTTTAGATCCAAAAACATTTTCTGGAAGTATATAATCTTTGCTTCTACAAATTGCTTTCTAGAAGATAAAAATATATTTTCAAATAAAAATTTTTAGAAGAGAAATATTTTTACTCCTTAAAAAAATACTTTCCATAAATGTGTTTTAGCACCCCCAACTTGAAGAGAAAAATATATTAATAGAAAATATTTTTTGAAAAAAAAAATATATACTTTTGGGACGTACTTTAATAAAAATAAAAATAAAAATAAAAATAAAAATAAAAATAAAAATAAAAATAAAAAAGTGCCCGTTCTGGACCTGAAAAAAGCTAGAAATCGGAACGGGCTGTTCTAAACCGGAACGCCCCGTTCCGAATAAAACTAATCTAGAACGCCCCGTTGTAAAAAAGAGAACAGGGCGTTCCACTTGAATCTAATAGCAGAACGGGCCGTTCTCCTTTCAGAACGGGCCGTTCTCCTTTCAGAACGGGCCGTTCTCCTTTCAGAACGGGCGTTCTGATACCAGAACGGGCTGTTCCAGACGGAGAACGGCCGTTCCACATGCAGAACGGGCCGTTCCAGACGCAGAACGGGCCGTTCTGATACCAGAACGGGCCGTTCCGCCTCTGTTGCCTATAAAAAGGGTCATTCCCCCTCAAAATCTTCATTGACTTCTCCAAAAACCCCTCACTTTCTCTAGAGCATTTTTCGGCATTTTTCATTCATTATCATGCATAGAGGTAATTCTTCCCATGGCAGAGGCAAGAGGCTTCGCATATTATCCCAATTGCAGCGGCCAGTTGCGCAACCATCACTGCCGGTTCCCGGACCACCCTCCATGAGTGACGCGCAACTCAGACGGAGACACCGTTTGAACAGCTTTGAGTTCGAGTTTGCACGACAGATTGACCTCCCCATCCTCGAGCAGGTAGGCCTCTTGGAGAAGGTCCAGGACTATTTAGCGGCTATCGGATGGGAGTTTCTCTTGGAGCCACTCGGTCAAGCTTATCGGGTTGCCACGATCGACTTCTTGGCATCTGCTAGGATGTATACGGTCACAGCACCAGAGGGGCCAAACGTACAGATGGTCCTATTTTGGGTAGGTGGAGTTCGCCATAACATCACGTTAGCCGAGTTCAACCGGATAGCCGGTTTTGTCCCAGAGGAGCTGCTGGCGACCTCGGAGTACTCAGAGATGCTCCTCTTCCCCTCTACCGAGATCTCCATAGACGATATGTGGCAGGAGCTCACCGGCGAGGCGGTCATGCCAAGGAACGCCAAAGCTTCAAGGATCAGAGACCCGGCACTCCGTGTGGTCCACAAGTTGATTACGGGTACCATCCATTGACGATACCATATCGTAGTTTCTGTCACACAAAGTGATCTTTTTCCTCTATACTGCATGACCCAGGGGATTCAATGCAATAACGGAGATTCTCTTTTTAGCCATGTGCAGGACTATGGAGAGAGATCAGGTACAGTGAGCCGCACCGGATATATAGTGGTTGGATCGATGCTTGCCCGAGTCATTGAGCACTACAGAGTTGTCGACATTGACTCAGAGACTGGCCCAGACCCTCGCCCCATTGATGCACTCACCCTCAGATCCATGGGCGTCATCGAGCTCACTCCTGGAGGGTATGTAGTCGTAGAGGAGCTCAATTACGATGACATAATATTTGACGACATGACAGAGATGCAGCCACAGCAGCAACAGATAACTCAGCGTCAGTCGCAGTCAGAGCAGCCCACACACCCATTGTTGCATGTAAGGGCAGATATCGAGGCCCTCCGCAAGCAGATGGCTAGCCTCGACAGCCGTTTCACTAGCATGCAGGAGGAGATGCGTCAGCAGCATCATCAGCAGCAGCAGTGGCACGAGCAGATGATGGCTTGGCTTCAAAGGCGATTCCCAGATCCTCCTGCCAAGAGTTAGGCTAGTGATAGGATATTTCTATTTTGTATTGTATGTTTCTCTCAGTATTTGTACCCCAAAAGGCATATCTTATCTATGATATTATCTTTTATGAGCTCACATATATGTCCATTTCAAATACATGCATGCATAAGATACAAAGGAGATAAAAAGCAAAAAAAAAACAACAATGTGAGAAAAAGGCAAAGCTTCCACATTCATAAAAAGTCAAAGCTACAAGACAAAAAAAAAGTTCTACAAATCCTTTTTATTTTTGTTTTGATAATTCCCTCTCGTGACTCATTTAGGAGTCCTAATTTTATGCTTAAGTAGTTCATCAAATATAAGTGTTAAATCATAACTTTAAGTCAACAGAAAGTGTTTATTATCAATCTCTATAATAACTATTTACTTTTTTAGTAATGTGTGTGTGTGTGTATATATATATGTGTGTGTGTGTGTGTGTGTGTGTATGTATGTATATATAGTTAGTTAATTTAATAAACTAAAATAATTTATAGATAAAAAGTTATTAATATAAACGAATAGTTATTTTTAAATGGTTAAAATAAAATAAGATACACATATAACTCTTTAAATGGTCATGAAGCTATTAAGTATTATCATTGATTATTGTAGACACTTAATTTCATCCGGACCTTAAGCATGGACTTCTATTTTGAGAATAAAAGGAGCTTTCAAGCATGAAAATGACAGGGTACGACAATAGAAGGCCTAAAACCCAACAAAGTTGATTTAGTAACCCAAAATGAGCTGTTCCCAAGCCAGAACTGCCCGTTCCCAAATTGGAACAGACTCTTTTCAAGTTGGAACGACTTGTTCCCAACGTGTAACGGGTCGTTCCTAAACTGGAACGGGCCATTTCAGACTATCAAAAAGGGCCTAAAACCCTAGTCTGGAACGGGTCGTTCCAACATAGACAATTATGTGTTAAACTCAACCCTAGAACGGGCCGTTCTGGTTTAAGAACAAGTCGTTCTAGATACGAATTTAGCACATAACAAAAGGATCTAGAACGAGCTGTTCCAGATCTGGAACGGGTCATTCTGATCACTTGACTCACTTCTGATGTTTATAAATAGCAGTCTCAAGCACAATTCCCGGGGCCGGAAAAATTCACCTGGAATTCCATAAATCTCAAAAAAAAAATCTCTCTTTGTATTTCTTAAGATCTGTGAAACATTTTTGTAGTGTAAAAGGTTGCCAAAAAGCACCTATCATCATATTTGAAGGTTCAATACAACTTGTTTATGACGTATTTCAATCAATCTTTTTTTTTTAATTTCTCATCTTTAATAGGTATTATCATGCTAAAAACAATCATGTAGACGTCTTAAGAGCAACCGCGTAATTTAAATTTCAAACATGTGAATAACCATTAATAAAGGAGATTAAATATTTAATTTGTTAATTCCTATTATGTTAACTTCATCACAAGGGTACCAATTAAGGGCGTCATGGGGGTGCTTAATACCTTATCCACACGTAACCGACTCCCGAATCTAATTTTGATTATTGAGGCCATGATTGGATCTTTTTTTAAAAATCTTTTTTCTTTCAATATTTTGAGCAAAACATTGGTATCGACTCCTAAGAACCTCTTTTCAAAAATCATTAATTAGAAATTAATTTGGTTCCCAGACATTTCTTAATCGATGAGATTTTCGATCAGATATCTAATCTATGGGTCGCAAAAACCAGAATTTTTTGGGTTGCGACAACTATAACTTAAATTCACATTTTTTTAAATTTCTATTCCTCAATACAGTAACTACTACATATAGAGATTTGTGATTAAATGAATATAAAATCATCTCATACTGTTAATACATATAATACTTATTATAATATGATTGCACATTGAAATGAGTTTCTTTATTATTTTTTATACAAAAATATCAATATTGAATTAAAAAACACAAGCTTTCAATTGATGATAATGGAGCGAGGTGGCACGGTTGTAATCTTTTCATTATTTTGTTACATGTTAAAAGAAAATTCATTTTATAACTACTTCACATTAGTACGGCTATATGCAGATATTTATAAGCATGTATCTTCATTTATTAAAATATAAATTTGTAAATATAAACAAAAATAAATTACGAGTAAATAGTTAAAATAAAAATGTAACTAATGTCGAGGAAACAGTTTGTTGTTTTTTGATTTATTACTTTCTAAATACACAGTGAATTTATGAGTATAAAAGAAAAGGATTTTTTTTTTTGGAAAAGATTGATTTTGTATTCAAATTGAAGAGCGATTCCCCACATCTTAACGCTAGAGGCAAAAACCCCTTAGTTATACAAGGATTGGCACTTATTTCAAGGGAGCATTCACTCCTCAATGGATAAGGTCATCTTACTAGCAATGCAACAGTACGAGTCACATTTTCAAACAATGATCAATCATCTCAAGATCAAAACGTGATTAAAAATCACTCAAGGGAGAATTCTCTCCTCAATAAATGATGTCTAAAACCAATTATATATCAAGTCAAATGTACTATGATTATATTTCTCCTTAGTCATCTTTTGGGCAGATCTTACCTACCCTTTAGAGATCATTTTTTTAGCACATTTATCCTAATACTCTTGCTTAACCCTGATGCATTGCTAGTATGATTTTGAATCTCCTCCATATTGAATATTATCTAATTAAAATAATATATATATAT